ATGGAAGATGCAAAGCCACATTCCCAGATAGGTGCTATAGCTCTTGAGATTTAACTCATCAGGAGAAATCTAATTCCCCATCAGCAATGAAAGCCTCTTTATGGATCAAAACTTAGGAACCTAAACACCAGGTTTAGGTCCTGAACATCTGTAACCAGCAAGCTTCTTTCTTAATGTGCTAGTTTTGCATACACCACCCTGCAGCATTAACTCTCCCTACAATGAGAATTAGCCTAGAGTGAAGCAGCATCTAACTTTCAGATACCACATTGTCTAAAGTTTAGGTAGCGTTGAGCTCTGCAGCACAAGCTGTAAGTTCTTCTGTGGATCTAGCACGTAGAAGAGTCTTTTCTCTCAACCTTTGTCTTGTCTATGAAAAACTGCTTCTTCAAATACACTCTCTTCCTAGAGGAGTCAGCATCTTCCAGCATATTGTCAGGTAGCATTTGGACTGGCTTTAAATAGCACAGGGCTGAAAGTCACATATTAAAAATACTATCTACAAAAAACTCATTCTATCATTAAGTCTCCCAACACTATGCTCAAAGCTAGTTCAGGGAAGATGCAATCCAGCTTCTGACAGTACCCTTCTGCTCCCTATCAGAACTGGGGACATGACTAGTCTAAGCCTGAAAACTGTTCTACAATGATTGTGTTAGTAAAGCATTAATTTTTCAGGAATTTATTTTCAAATACAGAAAAACTGCTGGCATGTTCAACTCCATTCATTAAAAGGATTTTTTTTTTTTTAAACTCCTTCATGAACTGGGAAGGAAAACAGTTTGTTTTGTATTTTCCCTAAGTACTTCAAGCACAAAGCAGCATATTCCAGATCACCCAGGATCTGAACCCCCAGAGGTTTTCAGTAGGCGCCGTACCCCTCATTTTTGAAAATCCTACCCTAAAATAATCTTATCATCAGTGTCGGCACAACTTAAGACACATTTTTCTAGTCAAGGATATTAATAAAACTATTATTTTTCAGATCAATTTCTGAAAAAAAATAAAGTGCTTCATAGTTAGGAAAATGAGGATTCCTCTGGAGTTCATGTTTTATAGTTGTGATTTTGTTTTTTCTCCATGCACTAGAAAGATATATCCATCGTTAAGAACTTAACTTTCAGGTTCAAGTAAGAAGCTGTTCTACATTCAGGACTATGCACCTCAAAACAAAAAACACTTTTCTTTACAATTAATTGCAGTTTTCTTCACTGGGCCATTCCAAAAGAATATTCCATGAAAATCAGATACACCTGCCATCAGCATCTTGAACATTGCTATTTGGAAAGGATGTAAAGTCAGCAGGCAGTAAGGATTCAGATTTGCACTGTTCTAACTTAAAAGTTTAGAGAAGAACAAGTACAACTCAGAAGTTTAGGACCAAAGTGATACCTTTAAATTATACATTAATGGTCAGAATTAAACATTTCAGTCCCAGGACATTTCTTCCAGTGCTTAATACAGTAATAAGTTCATAAGCTGCAAGTTTTGAGGAGGAGAAAAATATCACATTCACGTTTATGAGTCCTTCTTGCTGTCCTGACTCTGAAGTACTCTCAGTTGAAGTGATACACTTACTACATGTGGGAGAATTTTCAAACTCTATATAGCTCATAGTAATATCATGATTTATGTTCAAGCAGCTTAGCAGAAGCAGAGTTGCTATTAAATCAATCAGTATTTTACTTCCTCACAGGAAGTTTGATACATTCTGGTGAAAAGCCCCATATCCAGACTTGAATTTCAGTAGGAGCTACGTACATGTTCAGCTTCACATTTGCTTTGAACGTTCTCAGTTTCTACCTTTATGCACGATATTTGGATTCTCACGATAAGGATTTTGTCATCATTCTTCAAAATTGCTTAAAAAATTTAAGGTGTGTTTTACAGGCAACCTGCATATTTTCTCTGGGGGAAAAAAAGCAGGTATGTTAATAATAAGCAAAATTAGACTCAACATTAATCAGCTGTTGTAAGGGAAGGCCCCACATGTCCTTCTGGTGGTGAACACAGAACTGAACTTACCAGATCTGTGTGGCTTACCTCTAAGATCAGCCTTCCAGAAACCAAAATTCTTCTGTCTGACCCTCTAAATATATCACTCTTTTCCTAGAGGTGAATCTGGAAGAAAGCTATAAATGAGGTTTTATTAAATGTGCATAAATTGTCTATTTCAAAGACAATCTTCCTTATAGCTATAAATTTGATTGAAGTGCTATCACTCATACAATCTCTCTGAATAGGATGTTAAAATTAGTCCAACTTCCAGATAATTTCTGTAACAATCACATCTCACTAAAGCTGGTCAAGAACACTAGAATTTGATGCATTTTATTATCCAGAATTGGCAAGTGTCTTAATTTAGAAGCAGAATTTGTTTTAAAATTTAGACTATTAACAGAAAATTGTATCTTACCACAATCAAAACAAGGCTTTTGTTTCTTTTGAGAAGTATAGTTAAAATACACATTTACAGGAAAAAAAGTTATTCTCAGTTTCATTTTTGCCTTATCTGCAAGAAAGCTGACTTTGCAGAAGGCTGCAAGAGAACAGATCCACACTAATATAAGATGTATGATCAATATGAACTATAATCTTCAACCTAAGAGCCTGAAAAATGTTACAGCTTGAGTATTTCAAATGATTTTAGACTATTTTAGAAAGGAATGAATCTTTTCCCTTTACTTATTCTCAACAAGCAGTGCTTTATTTCCCTATCTATACCCAGAACTGTTTCAGTGCTGTCATAATGGGCTGAATATCTACTTACTTACATGGAGACAAGTTACCTTCTACACTTAATCAGTTTTCTTAAAACACTTCAACTGTAGCTGTTATGCACACCGGTAGTTACCAGTATTTTAGAATAAACCACATAATAGTTTCTACAAGGGGGTAATGTTTTTCAACATGCTGTTGTAGGCCACTGTCCAATTCAGGAACTTGTGTTGAGAAGGTCAAATAACAAAACAGCTGTGAGCCCAAGAAATACAATTTCTAAGCAGTAGAAGACATCATCTGAAGCGTTATGTCTACATGGATTATTCAGAAGAAAACATGAGCATTGAAAGGGTTCATTAGTTTTTCCGCTTAAATTGTCACATTATCTTGAGCATGAAATTACCATTCTACATGGCATAACTCTGGTACAGGTACACTCTACCTAGAAGTAGATTACTGTTTTCAGTCCAAAAATCTCAAGTCCACCCTGAAATCTTTTCCTGAAGTCAAAGCAGAAAATAAAGAGTAGCAGATCTTTCTTTACACTCTTTATTAGAAAAGGCTTTTCACTCATTCCTGACAAATCAGCACGAAATCTGTTGCATACTGCCAGCTTTCAGCTAAGAAATAAAACAGACTATTACAGGTTTTATTGTATTTATGATTTGTAACTCTAGATAAACCACCAATCACCATAGAACAAGCAACAATATGAGGACCCATCTGGCACGTGTTGCTGCTGAACTCTATTAAACATATTCCTGGTGACCACGGTTTATGCTTGATGTGTCAGCAAGATTTAAGGCTCACTAGTTTCTAAATGTTCTTGAGCCTCCAACATGGTAGAAGCTGTCTAGAGAAGTACAACAAAAACAAATCTACCTTAAGCCAGGTCTGATAACAGCACTATACCTATTCAGAAGTTTTGTATGGAGATGGATTTGAAATATCTTCATATAATCAAAGCAGTAAAACAATTCTGATGCCTTTTTAAGTTGCTTTAGTCCAGAAAATGGAATATCTGAAGACTCAGTTACAGATGTTAGATGTTTCCTTACAAGGTAGAATACCCTATTATAACATAACTGGAAAGTTCAAATTTGCTCCAAAACCTGCAGAACACTCTGTACTATCATTTCATAGCTAACAGCTAAATGAGTGGACTATTTCAATCATACTACAAGCGCTGCCACAGCAGGGATAACTTTGTGGAAGAAAAGTAATTCATTGTTTTACTTGCAAGTGTTTTATTGAAGACAGCACAAGAGACAACTAGGAACTAATATACTGGAAGTTCTGTTTCTTAAAGTTCCTGCAAGTATTGATCAAAGCCAAGTATTTTAAGGCTGGGCTATCTTTAAATTTCACTGTGTGATACTGATGTACAAATCCAGTTGGTGAGTTCACCACACAATAAACTTCAAAACCACCTCTAGTTCATTTTAAAGGCACAGTACAGTTAAAAATGTCAAGTTTCCATCACATGAAGTGTTGATTAGAGATGAATTCTTGAGTGTATATTCATTACAATTACATTAGTGCATATAAAAGTCTTTTAAAACCTTGTCAGTCAAATGGTTCACTGAACTCCTGAGAAACTTTAGTGAGGATGTGGCAGGTGAAAAATAATTCTGATTATGAATGCTGACAGTTATTTACTGCTTGTACGACAGAGGGCGACAGCAAATGTCTGAAAACAACTTTTGAACTCTCACACAGAAGTCTGCTTCTTGCTAGCTGCAACTAGCAATGGGCTGGTTGTAAATCTGGATAACACCTGGATTAAAAAGGTGGTACTTACTGAATCCTCCAATTAAAGAGACAAGACAGAAAAACATCAATTCAAAGGCAGATCATTGTATTCATATAGACTATTTAGACAGGAAACAGGACTGGATTGGGAAGAACCCGGAAATGAAGAGCCTGGAAACAGGGGAGACCTATAGCAACATACACTTAGGGACTGGCCAGGCATCTTGGCCAGTGACCCCAAAGCCTGCATACAACATGCAAGCAGCTATATGGCATGAAACTAACACCTTCCTTCTAATCTTCCCCAGATAATTTCCCCAGCGATTTCCCCAGTGAGAAGTTAAGATGGAACGGATGCAACTCTGCAAAATTAGGTATTGCAACCCAATCTTACACCCAGAAGTATTAACAAACCTGTACCTGATACAGCCAAAGAAGGAAGTGATAATTATCACTGGTTAAAGCTGAAGATGAAATATGAACAAAACCCACAAAAAGGAGAACATCTGAGCAGTTAACTTTATTTAAATTAGCTCATGTAAGTTTTCCACCAGGACATCCACAAAGTATACTCTAACTTCTTGAAATCCTCTGGATGCAGCTTCCAGACAGTCAACATCAGGTTCCACCTTCCATTTGAGTTACTTGAACTTATAAATAATTACTTGCAAGTTTCCTCAACAGTCATGTTTAAATAGTGTTCAGCTAGTTCTAGTCAAAGGGAGCTCAGACTGCCTAGTCAAGTTTCAGTACCTACTATCAGTGTTTGAATACATTTCTGTCCTTTCAAATGTCTCATAGGTAGCAAACAGATTGATTGCCATGAGTTGAGCAGACTTGACTGCGTATTAGCAGGTTTGATCAAGCTACAACAGACATTCTTCCAGGTTGCCACATAAATGTATATTATTGGAGTAGATGGCACAGAAGGCTTGTTAAAATACTTCAGTGTTGTTTGTTCCTGTAAGAGTCCAAACATCAGTTCCCTGTGTTCATGCATTAACTAAGCAACTCACCTAAGACTTCTTCAAATACTGAAACTGAATTAAAATTCAGAACTTCCTGAGAGCTTGCTGTTCTGAAATACTGCAGGAAGACACAGACTGTTTTTGAAATAACTGAACAGAAACCTGTCAGTTTTAAGAGTTTGCAAACATGTAAGCAGGACACTATATTATCTCTCCTACATTTCCAAAATTATTTAACAATTATTCTTATAAAAAAAGATTACCTAAGTTACATTTCCATGTGCTTGCATGGACTGTAATTTTCCCTCAGGTAGCATTAGAAGTTTAAAATCCTGTACTTCAGAAAATGTAAACATTCTTTTTCAGAGTCTCTCAAAGGATATCTGAAGATATTTTTCAGCCTTAGAAATATAGCTCAGTAACTATATAGCTAAAATAACATTACTTTACAAAGACAACATGAATGACAAAAATATTTATGAACTGTGTTTATATAAACATATTGGCTTGTAAACAAGTTTACAACATTTACATTAAATATTGAAAGAAAACTTCAAACTAGACAATTTGCATTAAAGAGAAAAATAAGTTAAAAATTAATCACATCTTAATTATTCCATTGGTTATTATTAAGTCAGGCACCTGGCAGTTTCAGAACCAAACTGTACTAAAACACTGCAACAATACTGAATATTGTCATCTACACTAATGATTTCCTTTGACAGAGCAAAAGCCACCTCATAGTTAAGGAAATTCCCATGGTAACTCAGTGGAGATAACAGTATGAAAGTGACTTATTCTTCACAGACTGGGAACTCACCACTTCAGTAGATGTTTTTGGCACACTTTAAAGACAGCCTCTTGTTAGCTATAGTTTTATATGGGAGTCCCAGAAATGCCAGCAAAACTAATGCAGAAGTTAAGTCACACCCTTCTGAAAGCATAAACCTCATCCAAATTTTTCTAGCAATATTTACACCAGCTGTTTTGCAGGATTTTAGCTAGCTTTATTTATGAGCTTGAATAAATGAGTAAAAAAGTCCTACAAATTAGACATGAAAGTATTTAAGAAAATCTAAGTTAACAGAAAAGCATCATGAATTCTGAAATAGTTACAATAGTTCATCAAATTATACATCAGAAAGTTACATATATGTTTAATCATAAAACAATATTTTCTATATATTATTCAAACCCAGCTTCAGTATTTGTTCTGATATAACAGTGACACTCAGAAAGTGATATTCAGTTTTTTACCCCTTTAAGTGAATACACTTATTTCCTCTATTTTTACAGGTGCAAGGATGCTTATTTGGATACCAATTCCACATGGGTATGACTTCCAACATAACTTTAAGCTACATTTTTCCATCTTGAAGGCAAAAGGTTATCAACGGTAATAAACAGACAGTTCATCATCACTCATGTCTGAATCATCTTCATCCACTTCACCTTCAATGACTGACTTCTTGCCTTTGCAGCATGAAACAATTAATCCAATTAAAAAGACCTGCAAATTTAAAATAAGTAGTAAGAGTTACTATTATTCAATTAAGGGGCATACATGGGCAATATATGTGAAACAATGGCAGTGTGGTGATGCAAATGATTCAGTGACAACTACTGTTAATTATCCAACTTGATTCAGTGATCTCTATAATCAAAGTACTTACTGCAATGAATGCCCAGTTCCCAAAGTAATAGGCAGCACTGAAGAACCAAAATTTATGAAGAAAGAGGTACGTCCGAGTAACGATACACTGATCTAAAAGGAAAGCAAATAGTACTGATTAACACAGAACAAATAAAAAGTCAGCTAACTCCAATTTACAGGGTAATAATTCAACAGTTTGGAGAGTGTTCAGCTCTGAAGAACAATTATACTCCGTTGTCCATGAGTGCTGGTCAGTTTAAGAACCACCTTTTAGAAGCACAAGAGCAGGCAATTCTACTGTGTCGTACTGTCAAGCAAGCATAGCAGAAGATCAACTTGGCTGAACAGGGAACTCCTCATGGAGCTCAAGAGGAAAAAGAATTGTATGATCTCGGGAAGCAAGGTCAGGCTTCACAGGAAGATTACAAAGCTGTGGTTCATATATGCAAGGAGAAGACAAAAGGTCAGAGCTCAACTACAGTTGAAACAGGCCACTGTTGTGTCAGACAACAAGAAATGCTTATTTTTAAGTAATAAAAGTAAGATTAAGCTTGTTAATAGCAAGAGGAGATCTAAAAAAACATTGGACCAATACTTGTTAAAGATGGTCATCTGACTAACAGGGATGAAGAAAAAGCAGAGGCATTCAATGCTTTTTTTGCCTCAGTCTTTAATAACACTGACAGACCTTGGGCTGCCTGGTCCCCCGAGTTGGAGGGCCACAAGCATGTGAAACAGTGACTTTCCATTTGTGGACACTGAAATTGTAAGGGACCAGCTGTATCAGCTGAACGTTCACAAGTCCACGGGGACTGATGGGATTCATCCCAGAGTACTGAAGGAGCTAGCAGATACTGCAGCAGGACCCCTCTCGATCATCTACCAAAGGTCTTGGAAGTCTGGGGAGGTCCCCGCTGGCTGGAAGCTAGCCAATGTTATTCCAATTCACAAAAAGGGTGTGAAGGAAGACCCAGGGGACTACAAACCTGTTAGCCTAACCTCAGTTCCTGGAAAAATTATGGAGAAGATTGTATTGGGTACTACTGAAAGGCATTTAAAGAATAATGCAATCATCAGGCATGGTCAACATGGGTTCACAAAGGTAAAGTCCTGTTTAACCAATGTGATACCCTTCTATAAGGTCACCTGCCTAGTGGATGAAGGGAAGGTGGTGGATGGAGTTTTTCTGGATTTTAGTAAGGCTTTTGATACTGTCCCTCACAGCATCCTTCCAGACAAGTTGTCCAACTGTGGGATAAGCGGGTTCACAGTGCACTGACTGAAGAACTGGCTGAAGGGCAGAGCTCAAAGGGTTGTAGTGAATGGGGCT